GTGATTGAAACCAAGTAAAACCAGTGACACCACAAGTACCAGCCACTGGCACGGCAGGCAAAGCTGTGCTCATTTCCAGACCCAGAACCACTTTCAGCTAGTAGGATGGAGGAGTTTGTCCTGGTGGCACTCGTGCACGTGTCCACGCTGACAGTATCGTCCACTGTACTTACTGACACACAAGGACAAAGGCATGCCAGGGAGGACGAGTGGAGACGGCAGGACAAGCCAATAAGGGGCCTTATTCACAGTTAATAATAATATTACTGCTATTTTCCTCAACAATGCAACACTGCATGATTTATCAGACTGGAGCACAATGGACGTGGAGAATTTCAAAAAAGTAAAAGGCCTGAGCTAAAAATAACAGAGGAGCAGAACTGGTGCATGCACCAAAGTGAGTTCTGAAATGAGATTTTGCTCCGTAGTTCCACCCCTAGGACAACTCGCACCTAACTTCATAACACCACAGAGACTGAGCGCACGCACGACAACAGTGACAGTCAAGTGGCGGACGCCTGATCGGCACACATCTGCTGCAGAAACTCTCCATATTCAGCACCCTCCTTAACATTTGGTGTTGCAGTATCTTTTGGCTTTTCAGGATGGAAATGTACCAACAAATCATGGATGTGGCTTGAATATTAAAGGAAAGGCAGGCTGGGAGAGTTCAGGTGGCACTGAGGTTATCACATGTGCACAGATGTTTGCCTGAATTAACTCCACCACACCTTTGAAATCCATTAAAGGGATTATTTTATTTTATTTCTCTGTGAAGGACCACTGATTATATACTCATCCTCACATCTGTGGGAATTTAACAAATTTATGTTAATATGACATAAAACAAGAACAAAGACAGTAACTTGAGTAGAGTGAATGAATGAATTTCATTTATGGTGGGAATGCTCCGATTCCCAATCAAATGTCTAACTCCAACATGTAGGGGCCTGTCATACACACAGATCTGGTGACATCACTGGTCCAAATCTGGGGCCCAATGCAGGCCCAAAGCTGGTGCAAGTAAAACTACCATGGCTACTTCAAGACCAACCCAGTACGAGACCAATCGTATTGTTTTGTTTTCTAATCCAGCTCTTTTAATACTCTCAAATGACATTTTATGTAAAATTACTGTCGCCTATTTAAAGAGTGTTTCTAACCCTCAAAAGCCAGGATCAAGACTTCAACTGTGTAAAAACACTACTGACTTGAAGGTAAATATGCGTCGTGAATGCTGTCAAACAAACAGCTGAACCAAGTAAAATCGTAGACTTCAAAAGCCAAAGTTCATTTTAATGCCTAAGGCGCTTGTGCTTTTGCCTCAGTGCTCGTCAGTCATTCTGATCAGCTGTCTACGTGAAATGATGTCTCGCCTGAGGCTGAGCAACAACCATCTATGCAGGCGCTGACAAAGCAAACAGTGAGCACAGCCACTCTGCAATGAAACAACACAGTCACTGTTCACAGGGCTGCTTGGCCACATGTTTAGCTTTGCTGGCCCAGATTTTCCTGCTGCTGCTACGATGACAGACTACACCCGATCTGCTGCCAGCGGCTTAATGACCACAACCAGCGGCCACACATGCAGTAAATGGTACTTCATTTAAAACATGCCACAGTCAGAAGCCATGTGTGAACAGCTGAAGCTGTGGGAAGGTGACTGACATAATGAAAACCTCTACTCGCCTGATGAAACGCTCCAAGTGAACACAACTGACTGGTGACTCAAATGTGCACCAGCTCTCTCACTGGGCCGATGCTGATGTGCTATAGCGTGCCAAGCCGCCGGAGACGCTGGTGACTCAAATGTGCACCAGCTCTCCCACTGGGCCAATGCTGATGTGCTATAGCGTGCCAAGCTGCCGGAGACTACGCTGAGAACGAGTGTTGGTCTACAGCAGCAGCACACTCAGCTGTCGGCGCCTGCGGCAGGGTCAAACTGCAGCCCACACACAGGACGCTGCGCTGTGGCCTCAGACAGGCTGCACTATGACGCCCTGGCTGGCTTCAGTCTGGTTGCAGCACATCAGACAAACCTCTGCAGCAAAGTGCAGCCTTGCTGCCAAAGTGATGTGTTTTTAGAGGTCTGATCATTACAGTGCATGTAAATGTCTAGAATAAAAACCCATCCATCTCAGAGTGCACGTCTTATCCAACCACAAAATGACCAACTTGAAGAAGATGGACTTTTCCTGACATTTCAGTTTCTCTCATGAATGCATGTGTGCACACGTTTACATGTGTATGCACATTAAAATGGGGAGGAAGCCAACCCTGCCACGGTCACCAGCTGACATCTCCTGTGATTCCAGACAGAATCACAACCTCCTCAAAACACAAGCTGATACCTCGAGAGGCTCTCATATCACAGGGAAACTAGGTTTGACTCGAGCTGCAGCAAGACATGAAATAAAGAGCAAAGATGTTCTGAGTCTTCACAGTGGGAAAGAAGGAAAAGAAGAGGAAGAACTGGGGAAAGGAGGAACATGGAGGGATACGCAGAGTAAGAGGGGCATAAAAAGGAGGGGAGGAGAACAGCAATGGGAATGAAAGAGAAGAAGAAGGGAATAAAACTTTAATGGTAAGAAACCAGAGCATGAAAATATCAGGAAGTAGGAAGATGAATAAGAGGAAGAAGGACAGAAAAGAAGAATTACTAGACAACACAGGAGAAGGAGGGGAAAATGTGAAAGAAGAGAAAGAAACAAGATTTAAAAAGGGGGAATGAAAAATAACCAGATAATGAAAATATCTGGGACGAGGTTGATCAGAGAGAAGACAAAGAAAAAGAACAACTACTTTAGCAAATAGAACGAGGAAATAAAATAAAAATTAGAGAAGCCCTAAAAACATGGTGATAAAGGAT